GAGCATGGTTATTAGTGAGCTTGGCCTGGGGGAAGGGCAAGGAGTCGACAGCCCTGAAGGTGTGTCTCCATTGAGCAGGTAGGGCATGGTCAGGCAGCTTCCCTGCCTAGCCTCAACCAATGTCCCTTAGGGGGGCAAGCGGGGGAAATGGGTGCTTAGGGGGGCGACGCCACATGTGATGCAGAACTTTTCCTCTGGAGTCTGGACACCAGCTCCCCTCCCCAACAGCTACCAGATGTTGGTAACCCACCATCACCCAGCTCTGCATTTCAACAGGCAGCCTCGTGCCTGAAGGACACTTGTCTAGGCCACCAAGAGCCAGGTCTCTGAGTCTATTTCGATGCATCCCCAGCCACCACGTAGCTCAGGGCTACTCAACTTTGGAATCCCTGGGGGCCACAATGATACTCACTGCACATGCCAAGGGCTGCAACTTAAGTGTGGTTGCATATACGTGCCAATATATATGCAAATAGCTTCTTTTACACAATGCCCCCATGCTCCCAGCACCTCCTCCCTGGGTGCTAGAAATGCTGACACCCTGGACCCATCTATTCCAGCCAGCCCATCTACTTGCATCTTTCAATGCTCACCCCACCTGGGAGACACCGTGCCGTTGTGGAGCATGTTCCCACTGGAGGCCATGTTCAAAGGATCCCACCTGTGGGTCACATGTTGAGCCCCATGTAAACCCAAACCGCACCACGAGCCACAAAAACGGGTTTTGGCCACATGTGGCCCACAGAGTTGCCCTGACTTAGCTAACAGGTGTCGTGTGTGTTTTCAGGGAGGAAGTCTATAACATAGTGCGGGGGCTGACTCTGGAGAAGGGTGTGGAAGGAGCAAATGCCACTTTCGCCCTATACACCCAGATGTGGAACAACAATCCTGACCAGGAGGTCATGAAAAGGACGGTGGTGGACTTGGAAACTGATTACATCTTCCTGATTCCCACGCAGAATACACTCGCACTGCATAAAGCGAATGCTCGGTGAGTCTGACAGAGGGTAGGGCTGGAGCCTAGGAACAGAGGAGAGCAATTTAAATCAATTCCTTTCCCCCATGGTTTAAAGCAGCAAGCTGGAGCCCTTGATTTAAATCATTGTTTTGCATGTTTAGCAGTTTTCCTAAAGGCTGCATCTACAAGGTAGCTTTTTTCCCCCTCAAAAACATATGCAAATTAGGTGAAATGTGGAATAGTACCAAGCCTCATTTGCATAAGTAATAAGCACCCATTTTTGCACAAGAGGCTTCCTGAAAAAATGAGGAAGAATGGCTCTTGCGCAAGAAGGGGTTTTTGTGCAAAAAGGCGCCGTCTACACGGCTCGTTTATGCGCAAAAGCCTCTTGCAGAAAAATGGGCGCTCATTACTTATGCAAATGAGGCTCAGTGATATTCCACACTTTGCCTCATTTGCATACATTTGTGAGGAAAAAGGCTCCAGTGTAGACGTAGCCAAAGAGAGGTTGATTCTCATTGCTTATAAATCAGTACACCATGTTGAATTGTGACTATATAATCCATTCCACATCTCTTGCTACCCAGAAGGTTACACCCCTCTGTGCATTCATTTCAGCTGTTTTATAGCTAGACATGCACATTTATTCAGATTCTTAATTTCTACTTTTGCTGTTAATCTCCAATACAGAAATGGTGAATAATGCCTTTAATACTTGTGTCAAGCTCCATTTGAATAGAAATAGGAATTTTACTAAAGGCACAGAACCAGGATCTTACACTGGTGTAGTTAAATAAGCTACTTCAAAAACAAAACATTTTGATAAATGTAAGAAAAAATAGCACATTTTATTTTTAAAGGAAGCATCAACTGCAGCTGGTGTCTTGAACTCTATTTCTGGATAAACTTAAACAACAAATGGTCTGGTAGCACTTTATAAACCAACGAAACATACAGCTCATCTTCTGAAGAAGTGGGCTGTGCCCACGAAAGCTCATGATACCATCTACATGTTTTGTTAGTCTATAAAGTGCTACCAGACTATTTGTTGTTTAAGTTTATCCTAGACAGACTAACTCAGCTACCCCCTGAAGCTTCATTATTTCTAGACCTTCTTATCCTTCAAAAGTTTAGGTCTCATCCTCTCACATCTCAAAGTGTGAGAAGAAAACAAGCATTTCTGCCTTTTCAGCTAATCAGTAAGCTGTGCCAATTGAATAAACTGACATGAAAAAAAAAATTCTCTGCCCCTGCAGAAGAGGCTACTGCTGTCAAAATAGACTGTGGATCAGGTGCTCAAACACAGATTTCCAGCAGTTCAGTGGTTTGATTTCCTTTAAAATTTAGGATTTGCTTAATGTCTTCATTTGATTACTAGATTATAGCCGATTTAAGCCTTAATACTGTTTTCGTTTCAAATAGGTTTGTTTTCAAATAGAATTTTTTTTTTAAAATCATTGATTTTTAATCCATACTGCTGGTTGGTTGGTGATTCAAGAATGTCTCTTCTTGGCACATTTGGGTGAAGTTTGGTTTTGTTTGTAGAAAAGCTTTTACTCTCACTGCCAAGAAAAGACTTAAATACAGGCAGTCCCCGACTTACGCGGATCCGACTTATGTCGGATCCGCACTTACGAACGGGGCTTTCTCGCCCCGGAGGTCGAGGTGGCGGATTGCTACCTGCGAGCTCCGGGGCGAGAAAGCCCCGTTCGTAAGCTGCTCCGGT